GGGAGGGGGGAGAAGAAATGGGGAGGGGAGAAGAAGAAATTGGTAGGGGGGAAGAAGAAATGGGGAGGAGAGGGGAGGGGGGAGAAGAAATGGGGAGGGTGGGAGAAGAAGAAATTGGTAGGGGAGGAGGGAGAAGAATAAATTGACAGGGGGGAGAAGAAGAAATTGGTGGGGGGAGAAGAAATTGATGGGGGTGAGAGTGACAGGGGAGGGAGGGGCAATGAGAGTGGGAAGCGGGAGGGGAGAAGAGAGTGACAAGGGAGAGGGGGGAGAAGAGAGTGACAAGGAAGGGGGGAGAGATTGACATTACACACACACACACACAAACAATGCAACCCTTACACACAATGCATCCCTTACACACACAGAAACACACAATGCACCCCTTACACACACTCAATGCACCCCTTACACACGCACACACTGCATCCTGTACATACACAGAAACACACCTTGCAGCCCTTACACATACAAACACAGATTCACACAATGCATTCCTTGCACACATATCAAGACATCCCCTACAGACTCCACCCCCTGTGAACAAACTCATTGGTGGAACATGAAGGTGGACCCTGGGACCCAGACCTTGAGCGGTGTAAAGGGCCCCCCAAAAATGGAGCTGCTTACCGTTCTCCCAGAACATTGATTTTTGTGACCACAGTTACAAACAGCCTCCAGAGAGCCTGTTCTACACCAGACCAGTGGAGCCAGACGGCAGCTAGAGCCCATCATCATCCTCATCTCGTTGTAAGTAGGCAATCTAGTATATTATTCATGGCACTAATCTCTAATTTACCTCACATTAAAGAAACACTATAGTCCACAGAACCACTGCAGCTTAATGTAGTTGTTCTGGTGTCTATAGCCTGTCCCTGCATGCCTTATAATGTAAACACGGCGGCACTGCAGCACTGGCGTTAGTTAACATGGCAGATCATATGGGTGGAGCATTGTGATGTCACATGGGGGGGCGGCAAATTTTATTTATGTCTAGGGCGGCAAAAATCCTTGCACCGGCCCTGTACATACTGAACACACACAGAAAGACTGCTGAACACACACACACAGACAGACTGCTGAACACCAGGGCCACCATCATAATTTGTGGGGCCCCTAACACAACTCAAGGTCTGGGCCCCAGGGTGCCTGCCTCCAAGCCCCGCCTCCAAATCTCACCCACAGGAATACACACACACAGGCACAAAAGGACACAGACACACAGAAAGATACACATATACTAACAGACACAAATACTGAAACAGACCTACACACATATAGACACATACACAGATACAGATACACACACATACTGACATACAGACACACACACACATACATACAGACATACATACATACTGACAAACAGACATACATACAAATTGACATACATACACATAAATACATACTGACATACATACATAATGGCATACATACACATACATACTAATATACATACATACACAGATAGATAGATACATACACAGATACATACAGACATACTAACATACACACACACAGACATACATGAATACTGACATACGTACTGATAGATATATACATACCCACATACTGACATACACACACAGACATACATACATACATGCCAGCATCTTTGTGTGTTGCACTATTATTATTTTCCTTCTACTTTTTTATTACTAAATTAAAAAATATTATTTAATAAATATTGATTGTATATAGTGTGCCCCTTGAGTCGCTTTTACTGTTGTGGGTACTTCCAGGTGGGTTATCAGAGGAACGGCAGTTTGCCCTTTACTCTTCTAGTCCGCTAAGGTCTTCTTTTCTCTATAATTAACTTGGGGTTTATGACCTCTACTACCCACATGGTCCTTCTGTGTGACTTTGGAGTCAAGCTGCCATTGACCCTTAAGTCTGCATCTTTTTTCTTATCCTACATACAGACATATATACATACTGACATACACACACACACATACAGATAGACACATACAGACATACTGACATACACACACACACACAGACATACATGCATACTGACATACATACATACACACATACATACTGACACACATAGATACATATATATATATACTGACATACACACACAGACATACATACTGACATACATGCATACTGACACACACACACACACACACAGACATACATACTTGCAGACACATACACAGACATACATACATACACACAGACATACATACTGACATAGACACACACAGACATATATACATACTGACATACACACAGACATACATACTGACATACACATACAGATAGACACATACACACATACATACAGACATACTGACATACATACACACATACATACTGACACACACACAGACATACATACTGACATACACACACATACATACATATATACATACTGACATACACACAGACATACATACTGACATACACACACAGACATATGTACATACTGACATACACACAGACACATATACATACTGACATACACACACACACACACAGACATACATACTGACATACACACACAGACATATATACATAATGACATACACACAGACATACATACACACATACATACTGACACACACACAGACATATATACATACTGACATACGCACACATGTACATATATGCATACTGACATACACACAGACATACATACTGACATACACACAGACATACATACACCCATACATACTGTCACACACGGACATATATACATACTGGCATACACACAGACATACATACTAACATACACACACACAGACATATATACATACTGACATACACACAGACATACATACTGACATACACACACACACACAGACATATATACATACTGACATACACACACAGACATATATACATACTGACATACACACAGACATACATACTGACATACACACACAAACATATATACTTACTGACATACACACAAACACACAGACATATATACATGCTGACATACACACACACACACAGACATACATACATACATACTGACACAAACACAGACATATATACATACTGAAATACACACAGACATACAGACATATATACATACTGACATACACACACACACACACACACAGACATATATACATACTGACATACACACAGACATACAGACATATATGCATACAGACATACACACAGACATACAGACATATATACATACAGACATACACACACACACACAGACATATACATACTGACATACACACAGACACACAGACATATATACATACTGACACACACACACACACACACATATACATACTGACATACACACAGACACACAGACATATATACATATTGACATACACAGACACACAGACATATATACATACTGACATACACACAGACATACAGACATATATACATACTGACATACACACACACACAGACATATATACATACTGAGATACACACAGACATATATACATACTGACATACACACAGACACACAGACATATATACATACTGACATACACACAGACATATACATACTGACATACACACACACACACACACACACACACACACACACACAGACATACATAGAAATATAGAATGTGACGGCAGATAAGAACCATTCGGCCCATCTAGTCTGCCCAATTTTCTAAATACTTTTAATTAGTCCCTAGCCTTATCTTATAGATAGGATAGCCTTATGCCTATCCCACGCATGCTTAAACTCCTTTACTGTGTTAACCTCTACCACTTCAGTTGGAAGGCTATTCCAAGCACCCACTACCCTCTCAGTAAAGTAATACTTCCTGATATTATTTTTAAACCTTTCTCCCTCTAATTTAAGACTATGTCCTCTTGTTGTGGTAGGTTTTCTTCTTTTAAATATAGTCTCCTCCTTTACGGTGTTGATTCCCTTTATATATTTAAATGTTTCTATCATATCCCCCCCGTCTCGTCTTTCCTCCAAGCTATACATGTTAAGATCCTTTAACCTTTCCTGAACACTAAAGGGGAGGGGAGAAGAACACTAGGAGACAAGTAAGAGGGGGAGAGGAACATTAAGGGACAGAGGAGGGAAGGGTAAGGAACACTAAGGTACAGGTGAGGGAGGGGAGAGTAACACTAAGGGACAGTGAAGGGAGGGGAAAGGAACACTAAGAATCAGGGAAGGGAGGAGAGAGGAACACTAAGGGACATGGAGGGGAGAGGAACACTAAGGGACAGGGGAGAGAACCACTAATGGACAGGAAGTTGAGGGGAGAGGACCATTAAGGGACGAGGAGGGGAGAGGACCACTAATGGACATGGAGGGGAGGGGAGAGAAACACTAATGGAGAAGAAAGTGGCACACAGGGGGGCCTGAGTGGGGAGAAAGACACACAGAAGGACATGAGGGTGGAGAATGACACACAGATAGGCCTGGGGATGAAAGCAACACGCAGAAGGGCCTGGGGGTGGAAATACAAAGGGGCTGGGAGTGAAAGAGACACAGAGGGGCTGGAAAAGAGAAAAAGAGATACAGAGGGGCTGAGGGGAGATAGACGTGCTGGGGATGAAAGAGAAACACAAAGGAGCTGGAAAGAGTAAAAGACACAAAGGGTCTGGGAGAGAAGGAGACACACAAAGGGTCTGGGGGAGTAAGACACACAAGGGAGGATTATCAGAGATACACAAGGGAGGTGTAAGACACACAATAGGGGATAAGATACACTAAAGGGGGTAAGACATTTAATAAAGGGCATATGAAACAAAAGGCGGGTTAAAAGGCACACAGGTGAAGATGCTTTTTTTTGTGGGGGGCGCCAAAATCATCTTCGCCTGTGTATCCAAAAATCCTTGAACTGGCCCTGACCACACCCTCCGCCCCCCGCCTGCTGAATCTTTCTGGTTACTTCCTGGTTTGGTTAGTCAGTGGAGGTACACGAAAGAGGCTGGCAATAGTCTAGAGCACCTGCCTTGGAAAGACTTCTCACTGAGCTGCATTGTGAAGTCTGCAATTGGACAGCTACAGAAAGTCTGGGATAGAAGGGAATGGCTTCCAAAATTTCAGGCAAGAGATATGCAGATTTTGCAATGAAAAAAAATGCATAATTAAATCATTGTGGTAGATCTACTACTAAACAGTACTTTAAAAAAAACGTTTATTGGGCAGACGAGTGTCCCTTTAATCATCCAGTATTTGATTCCAACCACACTGAGCTCTGTAATCAAAATGGAATATGAAGTTGCTTACTTGTCCAGGGGGAGCTTTATGAAAGCCTACATGCTAAGAAGAAGCTTCTTGGTGACACGCATAACTGCAGTGGTTTCCAGTGCTGGGAAAGGGACAAACAGCATAAAACAAAAGGTTAGGATTAGAGTTGAGCGAATCCGGACTGTAAAGTTCAGGTTCATATCGAACATTACGTTTTTTGGACCCCGGACCCGAACACGGACATATCACTTGTAACAAACCACCTCTGTCAAAGGTGCATGGTCCGTTATCAATCGGAACTTTCTGCCTAGCAGGTAGTATTTAAGAGAGTCTAATGCCCACTTAATAGCAAGACACTCTTTTCCAACAATAGAGTAGTTCTTCTCATGTGGGTTTAACTTCCTGCTCAAAAAGAAAACAGGGTGTTCTTCACCCTGGTATTACTGTGAAAGAACAGCCCCCAAGCCCACATCAGAAGCATCTGTCTGAACTATAAAGTCCCTGGAAAAATCTGGGGTCACCAAGACAGGATGGCTACAGATAGCTTCCTTCAGACTCTTAAAAGTATTTTCTGCCTCAGGGCACCATTTAACTATAACTGGGGATTTGGCTTTAATAAGGTCTGTTAGAGGTGGCAATGGTAGCAAAATCTGGGA